GTTTTTGATCTGTGCCCTGTTGTGAATGATTTTGCAGCTGCTTTTTATCCTTCTCGTAAATGGAAGAGATTTGTTTTGTTTTATTCACTCCCACATCACACAGGAGACCAGAACAAGGTGGTTCTGCCCTCGCTGCCTCAAACTTGCAGCCTGGCACAGCTCATCACCCAGATTCACGGCGATTTTGTGCTGCCTACTCTTTAGCTATCTGCAGTAGTCTTCAGAGAGTCAGCTTGATATTTTAAAAAATAGTTTATAATAGACCAAACCATTCATGGGAATTTGTTTTATCTTGTTAGTTCTTGGGCTTAGGAAAAATAACAATGTATTTAGATATGTTGGTTGGTTCAGCGGCAAACCATAAAGCTTAATCATCAAGAATCCTTAATCCCAGATAAATGTTTTTTTGGGTTGTTTTTTGTTGTTTTGTTTTGTTGTTTTTTTTTTTTGTTTGTTTGTTTTTTTTTGTTTTTTGGTTTTTTTTTTGCTTATGCTGCTAGCTAATCCTAATGCTGAGATCATCATACCCACAGCAATTAAATCTGCACCCACTTTTTCATTTTAATCTGTTAGTTACAAACACAAATTAATTTGAATGAACATTTTCTAGGTCTGGGCTCCAATCCAGGTAAGATATACCAGGCAATGAGGACCTAGGCAGGGAATCTTCCAGAATAGATGCACCTGTCTCTGTTCCAGAATAAGAAGCTATTTAAATTAAAATAAATAAATAAATAAATAAATAAATAAATAAGTCTGACTAAACCATGGCTGAACATTTAGGAAAAGGAAGAGAGTTAGAAGCGCGGGGCGCGCTGGCTGGAAGCATTCCTGCAATGCGCCTTGCACCAGTGCTGGCGGTGGCGGGGAAGCGAGGGGCTGAGCTGCACCCCAGGGAGATGCGGCAAAGAGTTTATCTTCTGGGAGAAGGAAGGAACCGGTTCTGGCAGCTCTTTCCTGGAGGGAGGTATTGGGAAAACACTTGGACCTTTGCAGAGCTGTCCCAGCTGATCGTGCTTCACATAAGTATGGGATGTGATTGCTATTCCAGGGGTCAGAAAAAGCATATGAGGTATCTTGCTACAGACACAGTCCTGCCTCAGCAAAAACACAGCAATGTGGCTTGGTATGAAATGTTATGTTTATAACCAGAGATGCCAGAGAAAAGCTATAGGGGGCATGGATGAGTAATATGAATGTGTGGTGCTGAGTAACATATGTATACGTATTTTTCATTGTCTTTTAGCATTATTTAGTCTCTTCTTAAAATCTCGTTCCTATCTCCCTTCCCTCCCTACCTCTATATGCAAGCAGGTGGATTTTAGAGGGGTTTGAAGGAGATGCTTTGGCAACCTGGTTTGTGAAGGCCATTGATGGTGAAAATGAGATAATGTGGGAGAAATCAAAGGTGAGGGACAAGGGTCACGGATGAAGGTGGCAGGAACTTTAACTCAGAAGGAGGTAAGCCCTGAAATGTGGGTAAGGACTACATGAGTTCCAGTTTTCAAAGCAACGGTTTCCGGTTTGCCTGTTCAGTTCACAGCTGAAGGATTTGATATATGAGAGTAGCCTGTGTCCTCTTGCCTTTGCAAAACACAGAGCGTGAAGCTGAGCCCCTGGGGCAGAGGGAGCCAGCCAAATCACCTGGAGGTAGCTGGAGGCAGCAAACCTCTCCTGGGTTTTGGCTGAGCTGAAGGGAATGGCTTGGCGGGGTAGAGGAAGGGTCAGAGGGATGGGGACACGGATGGGTGGTGTGTAGGAGAGGTTGTGGGGTAGGGAAGGGGTGCGGGCAGTTGGAAAACACACTGAGTAAATGGTTCATGAGTGTCCCCTGCCATGATGGGTGCAGGCTGGGTGTGCTGGGGTCATCTGAGCAAGTGACAGCTAAGAAAACCGATTCAAACTTTCCACACCCCATATTCATTTGAAAATGGGTAGCAGCATGTTGAACAGCTGTCGTTCTTCAGGATCCTTGCTGAAGAAAGCAGCAAATGGATTGCTTGCCCACAGTGCAACAGCAAAGGGAACACAGACCCTCCTGTGCTGAGCCCTTTCATCTGCCGAAGCGCTATTTCTGGATGATATATGTGAGTAACCACCGCACACCATCAACTATATTTACAGATAATACAGTAACTATGTTGCTTTCAGGAACTCCTTTAACACTTCAGTTTAAGAATTGATTAGTTCTGCACTGATGCTTGAACATTCAAATGCTTATGAAAGAGTCGGGAAATTTTGTGAACACGACTACATCAAAATTCTTTAGTTATGTGACTCAAAGGAATGTTAATTCATTCTGTGTGTCCAGATGTATTCTTTTTTTTTTTTTTTTTATTTCCCATCTGGAACAGCAATAATCTTTTTCCCAAACACACAGCATTTCCAGAGCTTGTTAGGAAAGCGCAGGGTCTCCTGTATCTGTGCAGAATTCCCCACTTCCTGTCGCTTCCTAGATTTGAGTGAAATACCAGCCTAATATGGAGAGCAAAAAGACCACAGAGGACCACATGTTGTTTACTTTAGGCTGATTATTCACATGTTATGAGCAGCCAAGAGAGGAGAGTGTTTTCCCCAAAGTTCTGAAAGCATAATTCCATCAAACCAATAGTTGTCTTTGCTTTAACAAAATACATCCAAGAAGGGATGATGTCTCCCCACTGAGATATAAATGCCTGAACTTGAAAAATACATCCCCTCTGGTTTCTTTTATCACTTGCATGTAAGTCATCCCTGCTTAGAGTGGGCATTTACTTGTTGATAAGTTTATTTTCTTTGGTTTCACTTTTTTAAAATTAATTTGGCAAGTTAATTTTGATTCCTCTGATCAACCTTACTGCACTGTTGGTGTGTGCTCTCTCTCCTCTTTCTGTTGAACACATGGCATGGGGACAGTTTTCCATGGGGTGGTGTGTCCATGGGCCCCATGGGGAATGTGGCAGTGGTTCCCAGAGAGCTGCCTGCTTTCTGTCTGTTCAGTTTGATGCCACGTGCACCCGCGGGATGCACCTAATCTGCAGGGTGCCAACTCGCTGCGCGGCTGAGGGAAATGTCAGGAGGGCTTCTCCTGCCAGGCTTCTCCTTGGGCTTTCCCAGGTGTCTTGGAGCTCTCTTGAAACTTCTTTCACACAGAAAGTATTGGAGGGTGTGAGGGCTGCTACAGCAATTAAAGTCCTGGTAATGGAAGATTATATCGTTCAAGCTCCATCAGTTGTCCACACAAGGCTGGATTATGAGTGTTTGTATTAATTGAAAGAAATGAAGCTTTTCTATCAGTTGAGAAGGAAGAAATCCTGTTCTGCTAAAGCTGGCATGACCCTGAATTGTGTACAACCCATTCTCTGCATTATGCATTTAAGGACTCATCCTCTGGGTACTCACAGCTGTGGCTCCATGGACTAATACTGAAATACAGGAACAGATCTCAGCTCATTTTCAGGAATCATCTTAACTTCTTGTATCCAGGCACTAAAGGGGAGATGCAGACTTACAGTTACCAAAGGCCAACTGCAGATGGGTTCACTCAGCCTTGGGTTTCAGAAATCACAGCTTCATGCTTTCCTTCCTTGGCCATGCAGAATCCTTCCCTTCGGAGAGGAGGCATGGGCTGTTGCTGCCTTTCTTGTATACTTTCTGTCCTCTTTGCTGTACTCCTGAGGTTCATCCAATCGATGCTATTTTCACCCCAGATTGCTATTTTGTGCCTTGTATTATGTTTTCCAAAGCAGATTTCAGAATGAGAATGCAAATAGCTGTTCTGAGTATTTTAAAAGTGAATACGGTCAACAGATGCCAAGATGTAATAAATCAAACTGAAGTGCTGTCTTAGTTGCTTCAGCTTGAAAGGGGACTGCTGTAGAAAAAGTCAGTGATGAAATCTAAACTGCATTTGCAATCCCGTGAAGATTCAGGTCAACAGGGTTGAGAGCAGAATTAATGGAGTGCGATGTTTGCTGCAACAGCTACAGTATATGTGGAGATTTCACAACAAAAACTTGAAGAGTGTTACGAAGGCAGATGATGATGAGTGCCCAATGTTGTACAAAAGCCCGAGGGCCTTGAACATCAGAGGGAGAGAGGGTTCAACATCTGGTATCCATGTGAAAGTGAAAAATCCCGTATGTGCTGAAGGTCACAGTGACCTGGGATGTGATGCTGACATGGCTGTGAAATAGCATGGGCTACTTTTTACTTTGCGAACCAATTTTCCAGGATTGGAAAAAATGATAACGAAGAGAAATGAGGCTTGTTCCTCTAAGGCCTTGCAAGTGCTTTTGCTTCAGCTGGACTGGATGTGTGCCTCTGAGAAAGTGCTATCTGTCCCTTTCATCTCTGCTCTACACCTATTTCTGAGAGAGAAGAGTGAACTCACCTCTGCATGCATTTTCCCTCCTCAAGATGATGAAAGATTACTGTGACTCTTGTGCTGTGTTCTTTTTAAATATTGTATGCTGTCACGAGTTCCTCAAGGGATAGAGTTGCTTTTGTGGTAAATGTCATGATGGTCTCCCTCCGTTTTTTCAATCTCTTTTTTGAACACCCTGTATCCAAACCTCTCCTCAAGAACAGTGTTAGTAGAGATTAATATGAAATACCCCTTACATGCTGGCAGGTACGTGAATCTCTAGGCAGAAAACTTGACTCAGTCCATGCAGGCAGCCAGACTGTTACCTTGGTCTGTATTAGTGGTTGGTTGTATTCTTCACACTCACCAAAATCCTGCTGGATTCTGGGGGAGTTCTGGAAACATATCTGAGACAGAACTTGCTTGTCTAAATGTTTGGTCTCTATCATTTCTTGATGTATGAAAATTAAAACTACAATGCTGCGGTTTAGTAAATTAAGCAACAGCTGTCTCCTTGACTTCAGAGTCTGTGGTTTCCCCACTGGTTACATTTTTATCTGTTTGTTTTTCTTCTCAAATTCTTCAAAGTGCAGTGGACTTTGAGAATTGTTACACCTCTGTGCCAGTGCAAGTGAAGTCACTGGGAGTGTGAACCTTGCCCCGTTCAGCTCCTGAGAGAGCATCCTGCTCCCCTGTTCTCCTCGGTTTCCAGACACTCTTTTCAAAAAAGCCCAAAGAAAAATTACCAAACTGTGCTGGGCTTCCACATAGCCAGCAGAACTGAGAAGCAGAACGAGATTAACTGGAGGTAGGCATGAACTTGCATGAGTGGTAGTGGGAAGCTGCTCCTTGTGAAGATGGCAGCAGAGTCCCAACTGAAGTGAATGCAACTGAACAAAATGTTTCCTGGTGCAAGTGAATGAAGGCATGCTTTCCCATTTGATCTGCAGGTATGTTTAACTGGATAGCTAGATGTTTATCAATGCCTCTATAAGCTTTCCACCTTATATTGTGCAAGCATCTCTTAACTTTCCCAAAGATCTTTCTCTAATTTCTGATCTATAGTCAGGTGAGGGTTCAAGTCAAGCACTTGAATGTTTTCAGTGTTTTTGTCCCCTTTATTTCTTATGATTCTCTATTACTGGCATATGATGAATTTTTCAGATCATGAAGAACTTTAAAATGAAAAAAAAACCACAAACAAAACAAAACAAAACAAAACAAAACAAAACAAAAAAAAACCAACCAAAAGCTGGAGAGATCTTCATGCTGCGTGCAGAGGAATTTTTCAGAAACCCTCTGAAGATTCATTCAGATCCCTTCACCTACAATTTGTTTGTTAGAAGTCTTCTCTAATCTAAATGAAAGTGCTAATTCTGAGCTCATTATAGTCAGAAGCCGTTCAGAGAGAGTATGAATGGTACTACATAAATAAGGTACCTTTTCATAGTTGGAAGAGTAAGCATTGTCTCTTTGCTGAAGAAACAGAAATGTGTGTTTGGATTTGTCAGTGAATTTCTTCTAAATATTGCTAATCAAGTTTAGAGGTTCTTGATTTATTTTTTAATGGCATCCAAAATTTAGTCTGTTGCTAGCTGTTTTAAATACCAAAGAGAATCAAATATGTCAAACACAGTTGATGGCATACAGCGTAACTGAATCTACCATTTGATACTGAGAACAAAGAAAACTTTTAACTTATTTTGTTTTTAACGGTAGTGCATTCAACAGATAATTTTATTTGGAGAGAACAAAAAAAGGAAAAGAAAAAACATTTTAAAATCAAACTTACCTACATCCTCCATGCCACATCAAAGGAAAAAGGTGAGGTAGCATGAAATATGTTTCATTTTATCGTATAGAAATATATATTGATAAAATAACTTTGTAACATGTCTCAGCTTGTTGTGGTTTGGGCCTGATCAGCAACCAACCACCACAGCTAATCACCCTCCCTTCCCCCTCCCCACCTGGGAATGGGAGAGGGGATTAGAGGGGTGAAGGGAGACTCGCAGGCTGAGATAGGAACAGTTTAATAATGTCAATAAAATGAAAACAATAACGATGATGGGGGGAAAACAAAAAGAAATATATAAACAGGCAATGTACAGCGTAATTGCTCACCACCCGCTGACCAATCCCCAGCCCGTTCCCGGCCAGTGACTCCGAGATACCAAGATCTCACTATCACAATCCCAGAAGCGAGAGAGCTCCTTCCCAACCACCCCTCCTCTATACAGTGAGCATGACGTTCCATGGTATGGAATATTTCATGGGCCAGTTTGGGTCAGGTGCTCTGTCCGTGCTCCCTCCCTGCTCCCTGTGCCCTTGCGCATGGGCAGGACATGGAGAGTCGGAGAGTCCTTGAAGTCTCAGCAGCAGCTGAAAACATCAGTGTGCTATCAGCATTTTTCCCATACCAAACCCAAAGCTAAATCCAAACCACAGCACTCATCTAGTCCCTGAAAAGGAATATTAACTCTATTTCAGCCCAAACTAAGACACAGCTACAGGAAAGAGAATTGAGGATGGGATGAGTTTGGACTCACATTCTCATATCAGCCACAATCTTTATTTTTTAGATGTAATTTCTTGTTATTGCTATCATTAGAGTTACCTGTTCCCAGTCACTCATAGCTCTCTGAAATTCAGTTTAGAGGTTGAAAAGAAATGCCTATCCTAAAACTCTAAGACGCCCACAACACATGCCTTACAGTAAATGCTAAATTTAGTGTAAACTGTTATTACAGATATCATGAAAGTTTTCTGTTGCTTGACATCTCTCAGGATCAGAAACCAATTTGCCTTACAGATTTTTGTTGTGTGCTTGGAGGGCAATTGCAATACTTCAGATAGGACTTCTGGAAAATGTCTTGCCACTGTTAGAGTTGAGAGCACTAGGGCAGATGGCCACCTCAGCTATGAGGTGGTTCTGAACCCCATCTTTGCTCCTATTGATAACCATAGAAAGCTTTTGCTGCTGTGGGTGCAGGGAATGCCTGAGAAATGTGAAGTTTCATGATAGGGGATCTGCTATGAAGGTTAAATAAAATTTTGATTAAAACAAAATAAAAACAGTGAAGTTGGAGAGAAGGTTGATGCTTGTATCTTCTGGACTTACATTTGCATGTTTTCACCAGTGAAGACTGAAAGGTAACAAGGCAGAGCTGTAGCATTTTACTAAGCTTTTCACAGTTAATAACTGGGCATAACATTACTTCCATTTGGTATCTGGATGGTAACATGGTATATTGTGGATGACACTGAGAAAATTGTCCCCTTCCTCTAGAAATTGTTTGTGTGAAGTATATAAAAAATGTCATCTATTTCTGCAGTATGAAAAATAAGGAGGAGTGATGGAAAATGACACTGAACTTAGAGCTGTGTGAGAATTGCTCAGATGCTAGCCCAGCCATGTGGTAATGCTGTTGCGCTTACGAATACAGTGGTTATTACCTTTCCAGGTAGTGATCTGCAAGTACATTACCATGCTGTAGCCTCACAGCACATGAAATTTGTAGGCATTATTAGATTCATTTCACAAGTGGGTGAACCGAGGCATAGAAGCATTAGGATCATACAGTAAAGCTCATAAATTTCATACTGTAATTAGTCTTGTTAGTGAGGAGGCACGTGGCTTGTGTGGGGCTGCTACTCGTTCCCTACTCTGGGAGTGAGTGCATGACTTGCTGCTTTTGAACTAGCTCTTTTATTCCAACACACTCCCAAGCTTCACTGAAAATTGTCTCCGAGTTGCACAGAACTTGAAAGGAGCAGGTGCTGTTCTTGACCCAACATTCACTTTAGGTGAAGCACTGCTTTTAACTTTAAGGGGCTTTGACTTCGAGGAGCTTTGGATCAGGTTCTCAGTGAGGCGTGTGTTGTGCAGTGGGATCAAAAGTCAGTATGTACATCTCAGTGTGGCAGGTCTTTAAACACAAGACCAAATCAAGTGCACAAACATCCCTTTCATTGTGTCTTCCTCTGTGGTGTCAAACCCACCTCTTGATCTCTAATTTTACTTGAAATCATGTATATGAGTGAAAAGTATTGATAATCTTTTCTTTCCTTTCCCACCTGCAGTGTCTGGAAGGTCTAAATCATAACTAAGTCAATATTTGCATGGCAAAACCCTCCCTCCTTTTCTTCCCTACTGGCAAAATCCCAACCATTACTTCTATTAAAGATCCATGTGCAGGAATTAAAAACCCCAACACCTCTGTCCATCTCATTTCTCTTTTCTTTCCACTTTTTTTTTTTTTTCAGGTTTTCAGATGATTACTCCAAAAATGCACATGCTCGGGTACTCTTTAATGTGATACTAGTAGCATATACTTACCAAACAGGCTCAGCTTTCCGTAGGAGCTAGTCCTTTGACAGTTGTGTCTTGTATCTTTAGTTTTATTAAGTCAGTAACTGGAAAAAGAACGATAAATGCAGCATCAGACCATTGCTTATACCCGTGATGAAGGTTTAGGCATATATTTCCATGACAGCCTGCGGAGAGTCATCTGAGTCTCTAAGGATGTTTCATGTTGTCTTCATAATGGATTCTGTCTGTTCAGTTTTCTGACTGTCCTCAAATTTTTATTTGGAGAAAGGGTTCACATTATATTATCCCTTAAGCCATGTTGTGAAGAATTCTTGCCCCATGGGATGCCTCAAACCTCCACTTTTGCGTCCTTTAGTGACGGAGGTTGCTGCTACAAAAGGCTCTCTAGGAGACAGGGACCTTGAGAAAAAAAATCTGGCATCAGCAGCAATGTTGTGACCTTTTCATCACTGGAGTGCCTGGCTGTTGCTCTGCTTTATTAGTCTGAATGTTTTCCGAAGGGGGAATCTGGAAGGTGGGAGCAACAACATGACGATTATCATTAAATGTTATAGCCTAGGTTGGGATTGATGCAAAGAAGGTGAAGAGAAACACACGAAAGGTGATTGCTGAAAGCCTAAGAGATCTGAAAGTGAAATAGTGAAATTTCAGGGGAAATTCTGTGAAGTTTGGGATCAGAAATTGATCTGAAAGGAAGAAAGAAACCTCCAAAAAAAAAATAGCTAGTAATCTTAATTCCAAAAAAATAAATTACTTCAAATTAAGCAAGTATTTTTGTGATGATAAATGGCTTTACAGTATAATTTGCAACAAAAGTAATTTTGAAACACAGAACTAAATGACTCAAATTTTCATTTTTCTACTTCTTGTTTTTAGACAAAAACATAGTTTCTACGGGATTCATCTCGAGAAAACTGACTTATGGCACCAGTAAGCAAGTGGCATATGTTTTTCAGGTGGTTATTCCCCAGTGTCTTCCTATCCATCCTCTTCATGTCTATAGAAGGCTCAGGGATTCCTTCCAGGCCTTTTTAAAATTAAACTGTTTTTCAGAATCATGGGCTAACAGATGGAGAACGGTGGTTGTCATCAGTTAGCCAAAGTAAACATAGTTGCAAAGAGTTTTCAACAATAACTATGCATAATTATGCGATTCAGTCATTTTTCAGTTGAACTTTGGAGGATTGCATAAATCTATGGATGTACCTGACCAGTTTCCCTGTGGTCCAGTTGGGTGCTGCAGTTCATCGTGGTAACTTTGTACAGAGCTTCACATACAAAAAGAAGATGAGGCTTTGGGGCAAATAAGAGACCCTGTTTGCAGCTGTGGGCACCAGCAGAAGAGTGGGTCTGCCTCTGCTCTGCTGGCTCACTGGTGGGAGCTGTGGGGTGTCAGTGCCTTCGGGTGTCTGACAGTGCTCTTCGTGCAGAGGTGACCGATGACTTGTATGTAACACTGACTACAGGAGGCAGCAGGACAGGCTTTAGTGGTCTTGTTCCCAGCATCAAGCAGCTTCAGAGCTGGTTTCATAGGGTGTCAAGGGCACAGAGAAGGGATTTGTCTTTGCAATGAGCTGATTTTCACTGACCCAACAATGCTGGGCGTTTCCTCACCATTCTGTGAAAGTCCTGCATAAAAAGGTGTTGGTAAAACCCAACACGTTGTCTTTTAGTCTTTCAAATTCCAAACTTCCAGAGCTGAATGGGGGAGCAAATATCATACAGAGCTGAGAAAGATGTGAAATAAAAATTCCCCAAAGTTAGCTAGAAAATCCAGAGACTTGCTCTGGGTTATGCTTTAGCCTACCAGTTAATATGCTCTTGCTGCCTGCTTGGTAATTTGTCGGGAACAGGGAAGAAGAATCCAGACTTGGCAAGCTGGTGCTGCAGACAGATTTTTGTCAGATGAAATCCCAGTAGACATTAGTCCAACATCAACAGCTCCTGAGCTATCACATGGGAATGCGCAAGGAGATAAACCCAACATCCTAAAGGGTGGATCCTCTGTTCTAAGGGGCAGAGAAGGGAATCAGGCTAATGTAATCTTTTTTTTCTTTTTCTTTGCGGAGTCATTCAGAGAAACTATGGAAAATGCTGGTTCCAAACACAGACACAATTCTGTATTTCTTGAAGTCTTCACTTAAAGTTGCTTAACTCCTCTCTTGCCTTTTTCTACATGTGAAGAGAGGTTAATCTTATCTGCTTTTACCTCAGAGGGATTGTGAGGGCAGAGTTTGGAAAAGAATTTGCCGTCTGTGCAAAGAATCCACCAGTGACTGCAGGGAAAAAAAACCCAGACCTACCATTGGGAAACTCCAGCACCAGCCGACTGCTTTCTGGAAGTGGAGTGTTCTGTTACATAAACATCCTTGAAGCTTTGCAGGAGGGGTGACATTCACATGTGGGGCCTGACTAATTGGTCTTTGTGTGTGAAGAACGGGGATGGAGACGATAAGGAAGTGAAATCCCCAAGGTGCAAGCTGGGCCTCCTTCTTCCCATGGCCTGTACTGTTGCTTACGTGTTGGAAAGGGGTCTCAGAGCCTCTTGTACCACAGAGCTGATGACTGGGAACTCTGCGGGCCCCGCGACCCAGCCTGCATCCTAACTGTCTGCCCTCCCCAGCGGGCTGGGAGGCATCCTGCTCAGCCCAGCACCCTCCAGCAGTCACTCAGGGAGCATCCCTCTGCCCAGAAGCTGCTAACGTCCCGTCACACTAAAATCTGCATTAACTCAGTGGTCTCTTTATGCATAAACAGCATGCAGACCGTGTAGCTCTTGGCTGCTTCTACAAACAGTGGGAGAAGGGGGCTGCTAACTTCAGGAGCTCTGAGTTGCTTCCCCAGAGGAGTATGCACCCTTCCACTGATGATGTGGGGAACCACAACCCCGTAGCTGCTGCTCTGATGGCCGAAGTGAGGTGGCACCAGCACCCCTCCATCCAAAACTCACCTGAGATCCAGGGCCGAGTTCTCCACAGCCCCACTCCTTGGGGAAAAGCGGAGCTGCAGCGTGAGTTGTAAGTCACCACATCTGCACACATTTTTTAAAGCTTTGTCACTAGTCCCAAGCAAAGAAAATAACCTGTTTGCTCCCCCAACTCTTCAAGGAAAACTATGTGTAGCAGGCATGTAAAGAATTTGATAGTGTATACTGTGAAATTCACATGTATATTTTTCTATATTTTATGACAAACACAGAATAATGGTCTGCAGGTTTTCATTCTGCATAGCAGCTTTCAGGGTAGCGGGTCCAATTTGGCAATTGGGATGGCAGTGAAAGGAACAGCTTCACAAGCTGAAAAAGCCAGTGCTGAACTGGTTAGGAAAGAGTAAAATCTGAATTCCCAACTCTTTTTCTTTTCACAGCTGTTAAGAGTTCAGTGGGTTGAACTGCAATCCTTCAAGTTCATCTGTTGACTCCAACACAAAACTATTATAAACTGTGCCTCTAAAACACGTGATGAAACATTTCTTGAGAGCTATTTATTCCAACTGCAGCAGAGGAAAGTTTTCAGAACACCCGGCATTTGGTAGAGGAAAGGTCTCTTGAGCTTTACAAAAGGAGGAATTATTTGCATTCCAACGTAAGTTACTTTTTGATTTTTTTTTTCCTGCATCATTGAATAAAATAATACTTCTAACTTCCCCCCCCCCCCTCCCCCCCCCCCCCATGGAAACATGGTCAAGTAGCAGAAAACCATGTTTAAGTAATTCTATACCAGAATAGAAATACCAGTATTTCCATATAGTTTTCTTTCTTTAATCATGTAGGTTGGGGGTTTTATAATTCAGCATAGTACTCAACATGATTTAATATTGTGTATTTTCTTTCCTCTAATGTTTTTGGTATCTGAATAACAGTTCGTTTGCTTACAATATTAAAGCAGAGGTATGATAGACTGCAAGCTTCAATCAGGTGTGTGTTTTGCAAGCTTACAAATTACAAGTAGCAAGGAATAGTTTGGGGATATCCTTTTTCAGATTTTTTTTGTATATCTTTGATCTGAAGTTTGACCTTATGTATACATATGCATTCTCCTACAGGCTTTAGCCGTGGTAAAACACTTTCCATGCTGAAGATGGACCATGCAAACATGACCCAAGCCATGCTTGATGCTGAATCCCGCAACACGGAGAAGAACAGCAGCAACGAGTATTTTTACATTCTGATTGTCATGTCTTTCTATGGGATCTTCCTGATAGGGATAATGCTTGGCTACATGAAGTCCAAAAGAAAAGAGAAGAAGTCCAATTTGCTTCTGCTCTACAAAGATGAGGAGAGGGAATGGGGGGAAGCTGTGAAGCCTCTACCAACCATATCGGGGCTGAAATCTGTCCAGATCCCCATGATGCTGAACATGCTGCAGGAGAGCATGGTGCCGTCCCTGTCCTGTGCCATCTGCTCGATGGAAGGCAGCAGTGTGAGCTCCGAGTCCTCCTCCCCAGACGTGCACTTCACCATCCAGGAGGAAGTGCTGGATGCTGAACTGGGCGAAGTGTCAGAAACGCTTCTCAACGAGAGCAGCGAGGGATCTGCAGAAAACATCCACAAGAACTCCTAGCACTTGCAGGGCTCCCTTGATCAGCTGCCAAAGCGTGAGTGGAGCTCCCACTAAGAACTTGTGGTCCTACTTTCCTGCTCTCCAATGAACTCTGAACAGGTATCTGTGCCCCTGGGCCCGAGGTGTTCCTGAGAGCTGGCAGGACAAGGAAGCAGTGGTACCCAACTACAAAGTGTAACTTGCACATAATTGGGATGCTTAATTTTAATTTTTTCGTTATTATTTCTTACCATAAGAACTAAGAACAAGGAGAATATATATATTTTTTTTTTCTAACGAGGTAACTATTACTGGCATGTCTCTGCATATTTCAGAAATCTGCAAATATCTAGGTAACGTTAAGGGAAATTACCCTAGCGCAAGTGCCTGGTTGTTAAAGACAATGGGTAATGCTCATTCACACAAAACTCTGATAGACTAGAAGCATTTTAACTGTGTTTTAATTATAACAAACCACAACCAATAGCAGATTTGCTCAATGCAGCCTCAAAAACTGAAAATTTTTTGATGCTGTAGTTGAAGGAAGATTGCAGCATAGGTAGAGACTGACTTTAGGCATAAAAAGAATCAAAGAAAAATAAAAAAAAAGTAAAAGAGGCACTGAATTTCTAGGAGGTTTGTAAAACCCAGTTTCGGATCCATGCCACTATATCTATCTTTGCTTAAGTTGTACCTGTACTGGCTGGGTCAGGTTCACCAACTTCTGCTGCAATCCAGCCTTTGACTGAGTTACTAGTAGGAAAAATGGTTTTGTTTTTTGGTTTTGTATTTTTTAAAGATATGTACATTTGATCACTAAAGGCAAAGATCTGTAAGTTACAGAAGACATTAAACGATCTTTGTTGCAAGGTGTAAGACATAGAAAGGCTTGAACAAATGCTGCTCTGTTATGCCCCCTTGAAAAATAGGTGTAATTCAGAATAGAATTTAACCTAGCAAGGGTGAAATCCTGGCCCCACTGAAGTCATCAGCTGAGTGCTCCTGACTTCAGGGGACATGCACAAGATTTTATGCTTCTCTGTTGGAGTTAAATTCTCCATTGAGGTCAGTACAACTGTACCCATTTACATCATTAAAGAATCTAGACTTTCTTCTCTATTTAAGCCAGTGTAGATAAACATTGCATTACATCGTTTTTATTTTTTATAATCAGCTTGCATGTGACACATGCATTTCTATAAAGTCATTAGTAGCTAGTTTTTAAAACCACCACAAACTTCCCCTCCCCCCAATTTAATGGTACTGTGATTTTTTTTTCAAATGCTCATTAAATTAGTTTCTAAACTATTGCACTGTTAAAAGAGGTAAGAATGAATAAAAATATAAGAATGAATATTTCAATCATGTCTTATATTTTATAATAACTTATTACAATGTTTGGATTAGTTCTGAAGCATGAGGGCTGAAGAGCTTGAATCTAAAGCATTGCACAGCAAAATGTTTGCAAAATGTCTCCACATATTTCCTGCGCTAAAATAGCTTTGTGATTTATCCACTGGCATTAGACCTTGAGAGATAGCTTGAAAAATATGAATGCTGAACAGCAGAAATGAACTGAGGCAAGAGTCTGCTGTACTTCTGTGGTTTAGAAGGGAGAACCCTGCCTTTGGCTTGGAGGGTTAATGTGATGTAGCCTGCAGAGGTATCAGGGTCTCTCTCTAAACACAGCAGAACAAAGTCTCCATTGTGCTCAGAAAGGGCCTGATTCAGTTGAGACTGAAGGCAGTGGGAGTTTTTCCATCCACTTAGTGAACTTTGGATCAGACCATATAAAGCTTTTTGGTAGATTTACTCCAAAAGGGGCTGTTTTAAGTTTGAAAGAAACCAAATTAAGTTTGGCACTTTGCCTGGAATCACTTGAATCCTGAAACTTTCCAAATGAGACTGACATGCGTGAGTTGTCACATTTTCCATTGCTTTCTCCTTCGTCCTTTTACTTTTGGTATAAATGTATGTGTATCTGTAAAAAAATGATGTATATAATTCCTAACATTGAGTTGTATATAATTGTCTCATGTATTTAAAGTTTATTGTTTCTACTGGCACTAATTTTTATTTAAATAAAGAAACACATTTCCTGGAAAAGTTTCTATGTTTGTTCACTACGTCAAATAGATTTTTCAGTAACGAGACTGGGCAAAATTTCTAGAGGATCCTTTCCTTAGCCTCTTTTTGAAATGATTCCTTGTGTTTGAGAGTACTGCAGCATCGCGGGCTGACCGCAGGGCTGAGCCAGGCTCTCCAGATCTGCCCTGGGTCTGTGCTGGCTCTTTGGGGCATTGGGCAACTTGCTGGGGCTCATCTCCTGTTGGGGTGCAGGGAAGGCTGCAGGGGTACTCAGAGTCCTCCCACAAAGAGCTGGGGGTGCTGGCGAGCCAGTGAGGAGGCTGACAGAACAGATAAGCTGCTCTGAAAACTTTTTTGTCACTTATTCAGCCTGTTGCCTTTTGCATTTTGGTTTTAAATTTGCATTGGAGCAAATTGGGCGAGCTAGGGTTGAGGTTATAGGCAAGCATCTGGCACAGGTCTCTGTTCCCACTGGATTTCCGATACTTGGCCATGGTACGTAGCTGGTTTTGTCACAAGCTTTGACCCTGGGTCTCACTGCTGCTCTGTCATTTCCAGCATTAGGGATAGGGGAGGTTTCAGGATTCTGGCTCCCAGTGCAGGGCGGAAGTGCTGAGAGGCAGCTTTGCACTTCCATATCTCCTTCAAGCTGTGACAGTATGTGCAGGGTCACAGGCGCTGGCTGAGACCTACTTGCATGGGGTAATTTGAGGTTGTTTCAAAAATCAGGTTGCTATAAAGTTATATCTGCTTGCTTTCCCACAAAATCTGTTCCCCTGTGCTCTGCTCTCTTCACTCACTCCCTATTAAATAATTCTGGGGCATGTTCACAAGCTTCTGTGGACCTAACGCTACCCATCAGCAAGACTGTGTTTCCCTCCGGCAATGTAATCTCCTGGGACACCCACAGTGTCCTGGACTAGCGGGTCAGTAATGTTGCATCTTCCACATTTACGCATGCTGCTGTTTCAGTGTTTCCATTGCCACAACAATGAATCAAGAGACTTTTGACAGCACTGGTGATAAGAAGGAAAAACAGAACAAAATGTAAATTAGAGCTCTGCTTTATGGATCAAAAAGCTAGCATATTCCAGTGGTTTCTTGTGTTAAATTGAGCTGCTATAAAGGGAAACACTTTGTGCTTTGGGGTCTATTTACACTGAAGTGAGCTAGTAAGCATGAAAATGTGGTCACCTTCTTGCAGACTGTGGAGGAGCTATCCTTGGCCCAAGGGGTTCGAGAAAGCATGTGTGATAGTTTGGTATGCATTTGTCTTTGTCCTAGGGCATTTATCTTTGTCCAAATTAGTGTTTTGATGGCACCAGGGGAAAAAAAGAAGCAAAAATGTATCTTAGCTATAAAAGTTAATTGGATGTGCAACTGAACGCAATGATGTCTTGAAGACAGCCCAGTGACCCAAGACTACCAGGTAGCTATTATTCAAAAATAAGAGTTGTTAATCTTGAAAAGCTACAGGTTTGAAAGGAAAAAAATTGTCCCTATTAAGCTTGTTTCAAAATCCTTTTGACTACTAAGGAGTAAAAGGTAATAATTTTTTTTTCCTCAAAATGACAGACATTACCAGTGTGCTTCAGTAACTGAGTTAAATCAGATTCAGAGCTAATAGACCTTGGCTCGAGGGCAGCAATAATTGACTGTAATTTGACTGAATGGGGATGATTTTATTTTTTCAAATGCATTATTTCTTAAAAGAACACAGCAATTAGGCTCCCCTTTCTTGGCAGTGCCATACCTCATACGTTTGCTGGAATAGTTAACACGTACCACCTTTGATAGAACAGGAAAAGATGGCCAGATGTGGCATGTGTACATGGTCTGGTTCCAGGACCTACTGTAAATATAAGTGCCAGCTCTCAAGATTACCACATCGGGATCTGTGGTGATAGCTGGCTGATTTACAATCCTAAATCCTACCAGTGGATCACATACAGACGAACCTGTGAGGTTACTCATTCCACAGACCAAGCCTGCCAAATAGTTGAAGTGGAAAGGCAGAACTCATCTCTTCCCCAGGCACAGAGTCTCTCAGGCTTTCCCAGGACTTCCATGCTCTGGACCAAGGAAAGAGTTAACCAGGGAGGGGAAGGTTAACGAATAGGAGAGAATCCACTTTCCCAGGACTTGAGCGCAGGTCACATTGTGGTAAGTAAGGGCAGGAGCCTAATGGGTTACAACTCATTGCAAAACGTCTCTCCCCAGCTTGGCCCTGTCACAGTGGGTTCTCCTGGATCTGTCCCTTTCTCAGACTTGCGCCCACACCTACCCGAATAATCAAATCAATTCTCACGGGATTCGAAAGGAAGGAAATGGATAAACTGTAACAGCAATTTCTGTTTCTAAGTCCTCAGTGCATGATGTTGGGCAAGGATAGGTGCACTGCTTGAGGACACAGAGAACACAGGTCCCCAGTGCAGACTGCGCTTTTACCACAGCCATTTCAACCAAGAGAAAATTAAACCACCTGCATTTAATTTTAATCTAAAAATTTCAAGACCCTGCAAAAATAGGAGTGCCCACCATGTGACAGACGAACATTCTCAGAGATGTCCAAAGTGGGGTGCAGGACAGTACAGTTGGTTGTACCAGATGCAGTTGTGCCAAAGCTGGACCATGCTCTTCTGTGGTTGTTGACCTACTGTGCTTGCATTATAATCTTTTCAGACCTTGTTATTCTAGTGGGAAGATGATTTCTCTCTGAGCTCACAGTTGCGTTTTAGATTTTAAAATACAAGGTTTGAATCTAAGAGGCATAAAAGTTAATTGTTTAGGCTATTGGTTTTTACGCACTGATCATATTTACCTCTGTGTATTTGGTTGATTTGCTTTTGTATTCTTTCCATTTTCACTTGTCTTTGCAGTTCCTACTGCATACAGCCAAAAACAGCTGTGAGATGAGCCACCTTCTTAGTGTATTGACACTTCTGTATCCACCTCAGCTAGGGAAGAAAATGGAAAATAACACAAAACCAATGAGCACCAGTGTTTTTCAAAGCTTAATTTTGTTTTAGTTTGGGTTTGGGTAGGATTTCAGATTGTATTAGGCCAGGTTAGACTGAGGCTTTTGCCATCCAAATAAGTGACTAAAAGAAGGATAATAAAGGCTATTGAATGGTGCATTACAGGATATGTTCTCATCTCTGTCCATGAGTAATCTGTTTAACTGTCCTGCTCTTCACTTGATTATCAGATGATGCTACTTATATTCCTGTCTGTGAGAATATGATGTGTTCTTGATAGACATGAAATGCTTGTGATTCTCAGATGAAAGATGTTATCCATACAAAGCATTTGCCCACCTAAGAACAACAAACTTTTTTTCCCACCTTAATTCTATTAGATGCTAGAGTATCTACTGAAAACAAATGACAACTGCTCACATCTGTGACCTTCTGGAAGAATCTAGCTCATCCCACAGGACCTCCACAGGTCAGCAGCAGCCATGTAACTGGAGCTTTTCGCTCAGCTGATATAAGAGAGGAGGTGCTGGTCAGCAGCAGCCCTGGGATGTGGAAGACTAAATTCAGTTCCCTCTTCTGCTCCAGGTTCACTGTGGTACTCTGGAAAATTACTTGTTTTGGCTAAGACTCTCATTTATAAAGTGTAAAGAAGAGCACACCTGTGCTGCCTAAGGCTGATATGAGAATAATTACTCTGAGAATTTCAGGGTGCTGAGCTCTGATGGAAAGTGAGAAAAGACAGATGAGTTGTTATTCTTTGTACTTGGAGAAGGAACCACAAACTGATAGAATGTCCTCTGGTGTGAACTCCGGTGGTTTAGCTGGGGCCAACAAGTGATGTCTCCATCCCCTGCAGCTTACCTATGAATGCCAGGCCTGGAGCAAGCCTGACGGGGTGCTGGACACCAGCCTAGCCCTCCCTGGGACAGCTGTGTCCCATCCCAGCAGTGACCATGGCAGCTGAACAGGATGTGAGACACACAGCGTTTGCAAGAGATTTTTAATTCTGTCCTAGAGAATACACAAAAGACCAGTCTTCCCTTCTCTTCAGGAGGAAATGTGAATCATGCACATCTAAGGATATCTATCCCCCTTCTCTCTCTTCAGAACACAATAAACTGATGAAGCAAGGTTTTCTGTAAGAGAAAAGAGAAGAAAAGTAAAACTATTGCTGCTACTATTGTTTAAAAATAGGTATTGAGCTATGTAGTAGCAGGCTACCCTTGAATGCTACACAGACAAGCCCCAGTGGTGTCTCTTTCAAGGCCTTAATGGAGTATCATCTCATAATTTTCCTTATAAATACCTGAAGTTACAAAATGACCCATTGCTATTGCTGATCCTGTCAGCACCAGCAGGCTAATGAGACTCAGTAATTGCTTTCCAGCGTGCTAGCACTCTGCTTCTGCCACACTGGGAAGCAGGGAAAGCTCTTGACACTTGTAGAAGCATGGGGCGGTGCTGGGACTGCTGAAAACCCAAGCACCACTGGGACATTTCTCCATGTGTGACGTTCCACACACAGCACTCTATAAGAGCACTGTGGAAAGGCTGAGCTTGTGCATGCATCCTGTGTGTATACATTAATTTTGATGAACTGCACAGGATTTTACACCAAAGGATGTTGTTGACTTTGGTTAGAAGGGTGAATGTTATCTAAGAAATGACAGTGAGGCACGTGGGTGATGAGATAGTAACACTTACCCATATTCACTGAGGAACCACTCGTGACTTCACCAAACAAAACAGCAGCAGCAGCTCTGTCACATTCTGTTGCTCAGGGTCTAGCTGTTCAGTGTTAAACATAATTAACTTTAGTCACATCTAATTAGCTGCTCTTTGGACACCATGTGTATCTCTAACGGGTTCTCACTGTAAATTTTTTTTTCTTCTATATTCATCAAGAATGAAACACCAGATGAAAATGATTGTGCAGCTTGAGTCTGCAGGGAGCCATCACCAGGGAGGTGCAAATGGCTGCTGACAGAACTAACCATCATCAGTGATCATCGTGC